CGGGAGCGGGAGCGGCGCGGTCTGCCCGCGGTCCCGCACGCCGCGGCGGAGCCGTGTGTGCAGTGGTGCTCGGCGGAGAGAGGCAGCGGGAGGTTGTCTCTGGTGGGAGGAGCAGGCTGGAAAACCCAAGCGCTCTCGCTCGCCCGCTCCAAACCGCTTGGGAGAGAAAAATCCCTGTAACTGCCTAGAGGAGGAACATCTGATCAGGTTGCTTTTCAGGATGTTTGTGGAGGCTTGCTGGCTCGGGGGAGAGGGTGAGCCGGTCCCAAGCGCCTAAATTAACGTGAACGTAATTAAGGAGAAGACACCGCAGGAGGGACGGTGGCTTATGTATAAGGAAGGGGCCCAAACTCCCACAGAGTTTAAAGACGCAAGTGTACCGTCTGTCTGCACAAACACGCGTACCCGGGCATGCTTTTTGCCTCCCTTCCACCCCCTTTTTTTTTTTAAAGAAGTACAGATGATAGGGAGAGACTGTCCGCGACAAAACCGACAGCACTAAATTACTTAAAATGCGATGATTGTATATTCACGCACGTAGGCATGTACGGCCGTGTGCATAGAGCCCCAGGTCACCTTTTCCAGCTGGCAGCGGGGAGAGTTAATGGAGAAGCATTAGAAATCCGAGGGGGGGGTTATCATACGAGAGTCATAAAACCAGCAGCCTTTACTTGGACTGGACCCATCAACCTGTGCACACGGGTGGTTTATGCCATTACATTATCCCGCTCCCTCGCCTTCCCCTCTCCTCCTGCTCTCTGGTACATGCCTTTGTGGAATACTGTCGTGGGATGGATTGTCAACTTTTTAAAGCAGTGACTTTTTTTTTTTTTTTTAACTCGGTGGGTCTACCATCTACAGTAATGGAGCCCCAGTCCTGATTAGTCCGGGTAGATGTCTACTGCAACAGTAAATAATAACCTCGGATAACAAATGTAGGCTACTGCTTCCCAAATTTTACTTGGAAAGCAAGGGGAAGGCAGGATGGAAGAGTTTATCTGAGTCACTGAATTCAGCCCGAGGTAATTTCAGACACCATATATATATACACAGTAAGTTTACACTGACATTAAGATTCATTCCTTAGGCAAAGGAGGAAGAAGAGGGGCAGGGGATAAAGGAGGTCAGCGCTGGCTTTTTGATAGATTGTTCATCTGATGTTTTCAGAGGAGCAACATCTAGTAGTATCCAGCACCAGATCCTGCATATGTTCTGGAAACTAATATTGAGCACTTCTTTTAGCTCTTTACATTTAAGATCCTTGCGTGAACGGCAGGTAACTAGTCAGAAAAGCTGCATGGGAAACATGTTGAGTGATTTAGAGTGTCTGTATGCATGCATGTGCACCTCTTAATAACAGGGAAACTGAGGCATGACATTGAAATGAATCACAGAGGCATTGAAGCAGTGGTGGAACCAGCATTAAACTCCTAGCTCAGTCCTAACACATGTTTGGGAATGGCTCAAGCTCTGGGAGGATGGGGGCGGGGGGGGGGGGGAAGCTGTGAAGCCACATCCACCTTAGGTATCATGAGAGCACTTGCTAAACTCACTGCTGCTGATGGGGGTGCTCAACTGCCACCCCTGTAGCTGCCTTTCCATTGCTCCCCACTAATGAAAGCACCAATACCTAAGCAGTTGCATTTTGGATGCCCAGTTAAGATCAAACTCTCTACCATCTTTTGTACTTCCTGAGGAGCAGCTCTAACCTGCTCTTAACCAGGCAGGTATTTGCCTAAATTTCTCTCTTGCTGAGGGTGTGGTTTCTAGATCAATTTAAGCTGTTCTAAAGCCAGGCTCCTCCTGAGAAAGATGGTTTTTTTCTCATCCCACCCCAGCCTGGATCCTCAGATGTGCAACCCCACCCCTCTCCAATGCTGGTACTAACACTTACATCCACACACAGGTCAGATTCTGGTTTGAAAAGTAATCTCTTTTTAACCATTTATATATTTGTTTTTGCTGAATTAATTTTCTGCTGGATCAGCTCCTTGTTCGGACTGACTACATATTGTGCTGGAATTAGGGAGGCCACAGGAATGTGCAGCTGGGGGGCAAGGAGAGGGTGTCTGGGCTGGGCTGCCTTAGGTTGGCTTAAACTGGTGGTGGAAGGGCAGACAGATGATTCAGTATCCCTCTGCTCTCCCTTTTAGCTGCAGATAACTTGATTTCACTTTCTTTTTTGTTCCTTGTAGGCAGTTTGTTTTTCCCGAGTTTTGAGTGTTGGCCTTTCATCAAGCAGCAGCAGGGCAAGGAGACTTGCCTGTGTCGTGGACAACGAGATTGAAAAATCTGTAAGGGTGGAACAGTGGACTGGAGAGCAGGTGTCTCTGCTGCCTGAATTACTTCCACCTGAATTGCTTGTACCTCATGTTTAAAAACTGACTAAATTTCAGGTCAGTGTTGTGCTTTGGAATGACATTACTCTTTGAGAGAAAGAAAGAAAAAAAAAGATAGTGTGGGAGGTTTGGATCCTGACTCGTTGACACCTCAGGTAACTACTATGGAAGCTGTATGTGTCACTGAAGAAACAGCAGAGGAAGAAAAGTAAACCTTGAAACCTCTTGATTTGACAAATCTCTTGAAAAAGTTGTGTTTGAATCAATTTCCTTCTTGTTTTGCCAAAGTGGTCTGGGTTTGGCCAAGTTTAGATACATCCTGATTTAATGCAGGATGTGTTCTTTAAAGAGGGGGCAATGCTGCAACTGTATCCTATGCTTTCATAGGAATAGTTGCAAGAGTTGAATCTTTTATAGCAGTATTTTCTATGATCCTATTGCACCAGGTACAGCATTAAATAAATGCATGATAGTTTGCAATGGGGGTACTGCTTGCGTGTATTCTTAAAACAGCATAACAAAAACACTCCAGGCGTATGCGATGAGAAAGGGAATCTGTTAAAGAATAATTTTTTTGAGTGTGAGGTCCTCGGCTCTTGACTTCAGCTTGCTTTGGGACATAACAAAGAGCAGCATTTATTCTGCTGCATACAATAAAGGATGATGCAGCTCAAACTGCAACGGTTCAGTCCTCAGAACCGAGCTTGAATTTCAAATACCTTTCAAACAGAAAAGGTACAAACTGGATTGCCTTTCTCATGGACAACGTCTTTCTCTTCCCTCCTTTCTCGCCTGCTGCATAAACCCCATCCTGCTTCCTGTAGGATCAGTTCCACACAGGTTGCTGAAATATTGGCACCCTCATGTCATTGTCTTTTTCCTCCTCCTTCCTGGATCAATTAAGAAACCAGTTTTTCCTCTTACTCTTCTCTGCTTCTCTTGTCTGTCCTCCTCTCCTTGAGAAGGAAAACTAAATGCTTATGATGAAGTAATCCCTGTTTGTTGGCACTTGCCGCTTCAGATAATTTCTATAAAAACAAACTCCCAATGTTTCTGAGGTTCTGCGCAAGCCACATTACCAATTGTGTAACTTTTGATCTCTTTGAGCTTTGTGTGTAAGCTCTTATCTGATTTTTGTACCAACTACTGCCATTGTTTTTGTTTGTGTGGAAGTCAGTATAGTTGGAAGCATGTATTTAGGAGATAAAGGGTCTGATTTTAAAACACGAAATGGACAAAAATATGCAGGTTTTTGCTTGATGAATTTGTATGTGCTGCTGTCATCATCGTGGACCCATATTAGGCATATGCCACGGGCAGAATTTGGCCATTTGCATTCAGTTTTACCAAATGGGCAGTAAAAAGTGTGGGTTCTGCCCAAAAGCTCGTTTCATGACTTTTTAAAAATCAGACACAAAGCATTTTTTTCCTCTTTTCTGCTGAATCAGTTTCAAGCTCCTTGCCTTCCTACTTTGATGTCCTCTTTTTAACTTTAACCATGTTTCTTTTCCTTTCTGTTTTGCATCTTCTCTCATTTGTCTTGAACAAAGTGCAAGTCCTAAATTGTAGCAAACTTTTTTCTTCTTCCAAATATTCCCACTAAAATAGCATGCGTTTGGGGAATTTTGAACTGTTCCTCTGGGCCCTGTGCATGCAAAACACTTAAATAACAAAAATAATAGTGTTATTATTTGTGTAAGAATGTGTAATTAGCTTGCATATTTAATTACACTATATCGGATCATTCTTATCAAAAGTTTCTATTCATCTCTTCAGCATTATTACTGAGAACATACTCACCAACACGAAAGTAATTGCATTATGGGTAAGCCATTATATTAGCTCTAATCCAGGAATTTGAACAGATCTGGGTTGAACTGTGCTGGGTTGGACTATCCTGATTATGCTATAAAAATTAAGTATTGATTCTCATTGCTACTGATCAGAGGAGAGTCAGAAATGAAATCTGTGTTTTGGGGTCTGAAAGGGCATTATTACTTCTGGAGATGCTAGTGGTAACTAAAATAGAAAAAGATCTTTGGATTTATGAAATGGGACAATAGTGCCGAATCTAACGTTCCTCAACCGAGTAAGGTAGACAAAGTTCAGTTCTCCACAGTTCAGCACTTCAGAGGACCTCACTTTATAAAATGGGATCTCTGTGGGGATTCTTTTATTATTATTTACTCCAGAGAACTTTAGAAATGAGTTCATGTCATTGAAACATTTGTAGTAGTATATTTATCATACATCTATATACAGCTTGAATATAGGCCTGTGTTATATTTTATATATATATTTGTATGTAATTGGTTGTATGTTGGTATGAGCATGAGTATGTGTACATACACCAGTCTTTAAACTTTATGTAAGTAATATACTTCTGTAGCACAGATACATACATATGAATATTGTTTAACGTAAGACCACTTTTTGGTCCATATATTGCCAAAGCAGCCCAAACAAAACTGAATTTAGTTTTGTACTATTAAATTATTCTGTGCACACTTGATTTGGTTGAAGCTTTTGGCATAAACCCAGGCATTTCCTTCATTGGTAACACTGTAATCTGAACATCTGAAATCTTAGGCTTATATTTGTGAAGAACTACGCTGAGAACACACTGGTACGTCACTGTTAGG